CAGGGCCTGTGGTGGCGGGGGGCCAGGGATGAGGAGCTAGTCAGGGATCCCATGGGTACAGACTGGGTGGTGCTGGGGGCCGAAAGCCATGTCATCTCAGGCCCTGACAAATTCAGTCTTTGGACAGACTGACCAAGCTCGTATAGGAGTCTGGGTTTTTACAAAGCAGGAGTGTAACGCTGACGTACACTGTCAGATTTTAAAAGTTAAAAGGTGCTTCCTACTACTTTTAACTGGTGTCCCATTATGAGGCCACATATTTACACCATAAATTAATATTTTCCACAAATTCAGAAGGGCATGACTTCACTGCACTGTATTTCAGTGTATTGAAGGCATCACTGGTTAAGTGCAAATAACTGACATCTACTGCAACTTTTCAGTCACCCATCTTCGCCCCACATCTTATGCAAAATTCCAAAGACACAGGAAGTTCACCGTGAACCCCACTGAGCCCTCACACATTCTCCAGGTCTTACACCCGTGCTGTGTCTGCCTCACCACAGATCGCTCCCTCTGTCCTCGTCAGGCCCTCGAGCTTGGCACCCAAGTTGCTGACATCCGTGTCCTTCCACCAAACACACCAGCACGTGTGTCATTAACCAGAGGTGAGCAGGGGCGGGGGGCATTTTCAGGTAAACCACATACAAGGTCACACTCGACTCCAGAGTGCCCAGTTCCAGAGCCTGGACAAAAGTGTGCAGCCCCCGGGGCCAACCTTCCCACGATGCTCAACATTTCAGCTCCTTAAAAGCTCTCTGGCCCCTTCTAGTCAACTCAGTCCCACCCCATAGGCAACAACTATTGATTTTTTTCCACCGTAGTCACAACCTACTTTTTTTGTTTTGTTTTGTTGAGGGGGTGGTAATTAGGCTTAATACTTTTACTTATTTATTTGTTAATGGTGGTGCTGAGGACTGAACCCAGGACCTCGTGCATGCTAGGCACATGCTCCTCCACTGAGCTGTGCCCTCCCCCCACAGCCTACTTTTGCTATTTGCATTTTAATATTCCTGGAACCTTGATAAATAAAAGTGGTCCAGGACTCTCTCAACTTCTGAGAGGTACAGAGGACAACCTTACTATTCTTAAAAAAAATTGCCAAACCATAAATGTGCTTTCTTGACCGTCTCCCTGAGTTTCTGTTCGCTGCTGACGCTTGGACACTGAGGTCTCCAGCTGTTACTGTTCAGTTGTTTCTTCGTTCAGTTACTTCAGCTTTTTCTTCGTGTATTTGGAGTTCAGTAGCTCGTTTTGCTTCACTTGTTTTTACCTGTTTTTAGGTGTATATATATGCTTATAATTGTCAGGTCTTCCTGACGAATTGACCCTATCATCATTCTAAAATATACATGTTTGTTTTTAGTAAAATTGTCTGAAAGTCCATTTTGTGTGATCTTAGTGTAGCCACTTCAGCTGTCTTTTGGTTACTGTTTGTTTGATATAATAGTCACACTCTTTCACTTCCAACTATTTGCATTTTTGAAGTTAACATGTGTCTCTTGTAGACAGTAATCTGTTGGGGGTTTTTTTAATCTAGTCTCTCAATCTTTGCCTTTTTATTGGAATATTTAGTCCATTTACATGATAAGTAATTACTGATAAGGTAGGGTTCATGCCTTCCACGTTGTTATGTGTTTTCTACATATTTAATGGCTTTTTTGTTCTTCTATTACCCCATAACTATCTTTGCTGTGTTAAGTATTTTCTAATACATCATTTTAATTCATTCCTTTGCTGTTTATTTTACTATGTTTTGGGATGATATTTTGGTGTTGTCCTGGGGATTACAATACATATTACTTGATAGTAATCCAGTTCTGACTAATGCTAGTTCATTTCAATAGTGTTCAGAACCTCTGCTCCAGTCTAGCTCTGCCCCTTCTCCCCCTTGTGTCCTCCTACCATCATACAAATCACCTCTTTACACATTGTAAGTTCAACACTGTCTTATACTTATTGCTTTATGTATCTGGAGGGGATTCTAATTCAAAAAGACACTTGCACCCCAATGTTCACAGCAGCACTATTTACCATACCCAAGACATGGAAGCAACCCAAATGTCCATCAACAGATGACTGGATAAAGAAGCTGTGGTATATGTATATAATGGAATACTACTCAGCCATAAAAAACAATAAAATGCCATTTGCAGCAACATGGTTGGCCCTGGAGAATGTCGTTCTAAGTGAAGTAAGCCAGAAAGAATGCCATATGATATCACTCAGATGTGGAATCTAAAAAAAGAAGAAGAAAAGACACAAATGAACTTATTTACAAAACAGAAACAGACTCACAGACAGAAAACAGACTTGTGGTTACCCAGGGGGGAATGGGGTGGGAAGGGATGAATTGCAGATACTAACTACTGTATATAAAATAGGTAAACAAAACACTTCTTCCGTGGAGCACAGGGAACTATATTCAATATCTTGTAGTGACCTACAATGAAGAAGAATATGAAAGGAATATATGTATGTTCATGTATGACTGAAACATGATGCTTGCACCAGAAATTGACACAATATTGTAAACTGACTATACTTCAATAAAAATATACATATAATTATTGCTTGATATGGCTGTCTTTTAAATCACATGTGAAAGGAAAAGACTTAAAAACAAAAACACAGGATACGCTCTTTTGTATTTAACTATATAGTTACCTTTTTGGTGTCCTTTGCTTTTTCACGTGAATTCAAGTTACTGTCTTTTGCCCTTGCATTTCGGCCCAAAGGACTCCTTTTTGCATTTCCTGTAGGGCAAGTCTACTAATGACTAACTCCCTCAGGTTTCATTCCTCTAGGAATGTCTTCATTCCTCCTCCATTTTTGAAGGGCATTTTTGTTGAATACAGAATTATGGGGTTTTCTCCTCATGCTTTGTATCATCCAACTGCCTTCTGGTCCTTGTGCTTTCTGATGAGAAATCAGCTGTCAATCTTACAAGAATCCGTTATAGGTAATAAAATGTAGGTCACTTCTCTCTCCTTTCAAGATTCTCTCTTTGTTTTGGGATTTCAACAGTTTGTTTATGGTGTGTTTTTTGTGTGAATCTCTTTGAGCTGGTCCTACGTGGAGTCTGTTGAGCTTCTGAAATGTGCAGAATTGTGTTCTGCATCAAATTTGACAAGTTTTAAACTACTTCAAATATTCTTTGTGCCCCTTTCTCTCCTTTCTTACTGGGACTTCCATTATGTGTATTTTTGTATGCCTGATGGTGTCCCACATGTCTTTTATACTCTGTTTTTATTATTTTTTCTTTCTGTCCCTCAAACCAGGTAATCTCAATTGACCTATTTTCAAAATTGCTGATTCTTGATTCCACACTTCAAATCTGCTACTGATATTTCATTTCAGTCATTGTCCTTTACCCATCCTAGAATTTCTATTTGGTTCTTTTTAAATAATTTCTCTTTATTGACATTTTCTACTTGGTGAGATGTTGTTCTCACATCCTACTTCAGTTCTTCAGACATTTTTATTTAGTTCTTTGAACATATTTACAAAAGCTGTGTTAAAGTATTTGTCTAGTAAGTCCAACATCTTGATTTCCTCAGGGATAATTTCTACTGACTGCTTTTTTCCTGTGAATGAGTCACATTTTACTGTTTCTTTGCATGTATCACATCTTTGTTGTTGAAAACTGGACGTTTTGGGCAATATATCGTAGCAGCTCTGGACATTTATTACCAGGGCTTGCTGGTGCCTGTTTCTTTGCTTAGGGGCTTGTCCAGACCTTTCTGTTGATGTCTACTTCTCCTAACACGGGCAATTTCTCTGTCACTACTCAGACTGCACAGGGCATTTGCAGTCACCCTGACCCTTCCCCCTTCCAGGGATGACAGTCGCCTTAGCTGAGCTCTCTTTGGCTGTCTCTTTCCCTGAGGAAATGACTGCCTCCTCTTACATTTCTAGCTCATCTGCCTCTACTGGCATCATACCCAGAGTTAACCCCCACTAATGGCTAGCTGATTGTTTGACACTATCCTGTAGCATAAATTGCATAAAAGGAAGGAAGGTAAAGGAGATAGTTTGTGTTCTGTTCTGTTCTGTTTTGTTTTGCCATAAAAGATGCTCTTGGTGCAATCTGTGAAACGTGGTACACGGGGATTCCACGACAGGCCCATCAGCGTCAAGTTTCTATTTTGATGTGTGAACTGTGGCTACATGGGAAAGTATCTTAGTAAGAGCCTCGGTAAGAGACTAATAGCTGTTAAACTAAGCAATTAGAGTCTGCTCCGCAGTCTGTTATGAACAGTTGCTTAACTGTTTAGCAGACAAATGTTTCTCCTTGAGGGCATGGGTATCTGTGACTCTCATGAGGTCTAATGCACAGGCACACGAATTTATCAGCCGACACTGAACTTGATCTGGATTTTCCAGCCTCTGTCAAGCATACGAACACAGAGACAAGTCTGTGTCCAGGCCCTCGGGTGTGTCTGTTCTGGTGGGAAAAGCTGGAGGACACCTTCAAGGGACAAGCAAGAGGGTGGGGGCTGAAGAACGACAGGAATTCAGAGGAGGGGAAGGAGTCAGTGTGGAATGAAGAGAGAAATCATAGGTAGAAGTAGCAAGATCCAGAGGACCTTGGCCAAATTCCTTTTCATGTCTTTTTTTATGAGACGAGTTTGGGCTTGCCAGTAAAGGTGCGAAGACAAGAGGTGGTGTGTGTGCGGGGCAGCCAGTGAGTCGTCATTTCTAACAGCGAAAGGCTGGAGGAATGGGGCTAAATATGCCACATCTGTGCATCGGCTGGCCAGGCCGCCACCAGGGAGCTGCCCTTCTCTCTGGGAGTCACAGCTGTGGTTACAGGAGGGCGTGCGTCTGGGAGGGGCAAGAGGGGTCTGCGGGGCGTGCTCCCCACCACCAGGAGCTGCTGGTGCTGCTGGTGGGAAGGTCTGCAAATCATCGAGCCCCCCACTTAAGGTTTGTGTAGTTTGCCAGGTTCAGTAAGCTGCAGCTCACTTTTTTTTTAAGCTGGAAAAAAAGTTTTTCCAGCGCTGGCTTCGGCAGCACATGTGCTGGAACTGGAACGATACAGAGAAGATTAGCGTGGCCGCTGCGCAGGGATGACACGCACATTCGTCAAGAGTTCCAATTTTAAAAATTGTGTATATTAATAAGTAATTACCTCCAGGATATATCGTTAAATGGAAAATGCGTCTATAACAAGGTATGCAGAAGGCAACCTGATATCTACCCAGGCCCGGAGCTTCACCAGGAGGCCGGAGGGGAGGAGCGGGTGCGGGGCGTCTCCAGGGGCGGAGGGAACCGCGCGGCAGGCACGTGGGGACCAAGGGGCCATCCGCCTTCAGAGCTTAGGGCGGGGAACGGTGTGGGGCACGGAGCGTGTGCAGGCGCGTCTGCGGTGCCCGCCACCCCGCAGCTGCCCTTGTCGTGCGGGCTGACGCCAGCGGGGCGGGTGCAGACAGCCCGCATGAGGAGCGGCCTTCCAGGCGTGTGTTTCTCGGTAAACTGAATCCGACAACCCACCGAGCCCCGTGTCAGGTCCTACGGCTCAGTTTGTCACAGATTTTAAACTCAGCCAAGTCTCTTTCATTCGT